TAGTTTCTGAAAATAAGTATTGAAATAATAGCTTCTAAATTTTTCCTGAATTCAGGGGCCATTGTTACTTTTCATTCTTCCAATAACTTCAGGGGATTGTTAACTAGATACTTAATTTTTGGTAAATCTAATTTCACAGTCTATAAAATGAGGCAATTGGTCTGATTGTGGGTTCCAAGATCCCTTTTATGATTTTTGCCACCTGGGCATGTGAAAGTGTAAAAGTTAAACTGCCTTTTCCCCTCTAAGTTTCAAGAAACAAAGGATGCCATCCAGTTTACTATACCAACTGGGCATATTATATAGTATTTCACACAAATATGTGCTTGACTTTGGACTATAATATAGCTTGTTTTGTACAGGTGCTGTGATGGAACAAAGAATGGCCAACTGAATTGCATCCCATTCTACGATGAGCATGAATACATGAATATATATGTATGTATGTATTATTCATATATATGTGCGTGTGTGCATGTACACACACACACGTGTGTGTGTGTGTGTGTGTGTGTGTGTGTGTGTGTGTGTGTGTATGTGTGCGTATGATAAATCAAACCAGAAATTCGGTCTTATGGTCCACAAATAGATGCATGGCTTTAACAGAGTTCGAACCACCCTCCATTCTTAGTCACCTTTTAATTGCAAGAAAATAATAGAGGACAAGCTGAGCACTTGAAAGTCACAAAAAATTGTATTCATCCTTATATATGTCTTCATACAAACTTACACATGTAACTTTTATCAAAACAAAACATATGCCATAAACGATTCCACTGTAGTTTATCCTTGACAGTGGCTGGGTACATGCATAAGAGATCAAAAGCAAAAACATGCAACTAAATAATGGATATTTTTTCAGAAATATAAATTTAGTATTTAAAAAACAGAATTTCTTCAGATTTTATTCAAATGTATAGACAGTACAAGAAAACAGTGACAAGAGCAAAACAGGAGCAGAACAGAAGTTAACATTGTATGTTGAAGTACTTTGAATTATCTAAACATTGTAGAAGTATACATGGACCCTAAAAGCTCAGCGGCCACAAAGTCAATGAAGAAACTCTATTAGCTATCCACTCGTGGACATGATTCTTGGTCCTACATTAGAAGCATTGAGGTTCATCCAGCACTTGTCCCTTGGAGCATCAAATCTCAAGAGCTTTTAGGAGTTTGCTGATCATCATCACAGACATGAAAGACACCACTAATTTTCTTGTATTCAAAACAGTTTCTTCACTTCACGTAACTAGACTAGATATATATTACACCAAACACTGACACGTGAGAGTTATGTCAGAAACTGGAGCACCAGATTGACACAAGAAAGGACATGACCAGTGTCTGATGTCTAAAGCGATAGTAATAAACTGGTTTTCAACGAGCATTTTATTCCTAGACTTCCTGAACTGAGAAAGATGTCCTCATAGCAAGGCAACGTTTCCTACAAATATGACATTATTTTCCCATCATTAACAACATATCCCAGCATAATCCTTGACTCTTCAAAGCTATCGAAACTATTCATATCACTTAACGTCACCAACATTACAAATAAAACACAAAGCAGGTAACTGAGTGGCACACACAACACGAGCATATAGGCATACTAACACACCTAAATAATTACTCTCTTATTAAACTCTGTAACATCCAAATACATTTTTTTCCATTTGTAATGTTTCTGTCTCAGGAACAAAATACAGCATATGATTAACGTTCATGATTTTTATATACTCATGGTTATTGTTTCATGGTTAAAGTCATAATATTTGCTTAGCACTTTTAGAGCATGTTTTAAAATTGCATGATTGGACCCACTTCCTTCTGCTTCTAGGCAAGTGTAAGTGGATTCCATTAGGACATGTCCCAGTATTTTGGGAACTTGATGACCAAAGGTATCTCAGCATCCTTTAGTTTGTTGTTGGAGGCTTTTCTCACAGCCCTCTACTTAAAAGGTTGGTTTACCATTAATCTTTTGTCCTTTGATAGCATAAACACTCATTTTTCAGCAATATAAATATTGTCAACAAAAAAAAAAATCCACTTGCATTTATTCTGCAGAGTTTCAGGAACACACAGTCACAGATTTTCAAATGTGACCAATAGCGAAGAACTCCCAGAATGACAGCCATTTCCCTGTATAGGAATTGTTTACAATTGGAGCCACTTTGTTTTCAACGATAAAAGTCAAAGAAAGAAAAGGTAGGCCAGAAGGAGAAGAAGATCTGTGAATCCTTCCTTTAAAGGAAAGGGTTGCTTAAACAATATGCAGCAAGTAGTGGTGGCGCTGTGTAATCCCTGAAGGATTCACGAGTTCAAAGCCCGCATGGGTTACACAGTAACGTTAAGACCAATCTTAGCAGTTTCGTGAGAGCCTACCAAAATAACAAGAAAAAAGACAGGCTGGAAACATAGCTATCTATGTTTGCCTAAAATTTACAAAGCCCTGGGTTTAATCCCCAGTAACACACACACACACCACATACACACACAAACACACTCACACGCATACCACAACACAACCCACACACACACACACACACACATACAAGATTATTATGCTCAGGAAATTCTTAATACATAATATTTGGGTGTTTTCAACTGACTTAAAATATATCTACCACATTTCAAGTGAGTTTGCTTGTTCACAGTGAAATATTTGGTGACAGCATCAGAGGTAGTCCAAAAAAATAATAAAAATATTATTTAGTATGACATTCAGAGTGTGCTTATTCAATAAGCAATTATGAATTTAATAATTAAGATTGATTACCCTATCTGGTATCCTCCAAGAAAACATAAAAGTCTGAAGATATATTGAGTAAAAATGCCATTGATTAAACATGAAAATCATTTGCACAAACATGCAGACATGTACATACTTAGTAGCAAACACACAGTTGGAAAATGAAATTATTCCCCTCAATTCGTAGTATTTATTAAGTCATGTCTAAGCAAGTGGTGTAATCTTTTATATGATAATTAAGAGAATGTAGCATAGAGTTACCAATTAGCTGTTATTCAGAGTGCGATGTTAACGTAGAACTTGTGATATGTCCCAACTCTAGTGTATTATGTTAAGCACTATTTCCACCATCTAAACTTGACTTGGATAAGAAGCAGAAGTTTTGGATGTAAAAGAGTTGGGTAACATTTTGAAGATAAAACTTATGTTTACAGGGGCTGGAGAGATGGCTGGGGCAGTCAAGAGCTAAGAGTGTGCACTTTTCTTTGTGTGTGTATATGTGTGTGTGTGTATTTAAAAAAAATTTTTATTGATTCTTTGTGAATTTTACATCATGTACCCCAATTCTGCTCATCTCCCTGTCACTCCATGCCTGCCTTCTCCCATTGCAACCTTGCCAAAAGAAAGCAAAAAATGAATATAAGAAAGAAAACTTATTGCTGAGGAAGCTGCAGTGGGTCTCTGGGTCCCACCGTGTACCCTTTTGCCCAAACAGCTTTACCTGCAATCATTCATTGCAATGGGTCACTGGACGGGTTCCAAACCTCTGACTGCTGCTGGAGAATCAAAGGGCACACTTGCAGTAATCTTTGGTTTGGTTTCCAGCACCCAGGTCACGTGGCTTTCAACTACCTGATCTTCTCCTGTACACACATCTACTCGTCTGCACACACAGCCACACAGCACACACACACACATTCACATAATTAAAAAACGATTCATAAAAGTTTAAAAAAAAATCTTGGGTATATATTGCCCCAAGAACTACTGCCAACATGATTAGATATTTCCTAAATTTGCCTCGTGAAAGGACTCATCAGAGGCATCTCACACGATCATCTCTAACTTTTCCAAAGAAATTCTACTTAGATATACAGGTAACAGCAAATGTATCAAACTATAATGTTTGCCTGTGTGTGTGTGTGTGTGTGTGTGTGTGTGTGTGTGTGTGTGTGTGTGGTGTGGTGTGGTCACAGTCACCAGCTTACGCTTTTATGCAACAGTTTGGTTATAGGTCTTTAAAACACAGGAACACATTACCTGTGATTTATAGCAAAGCCTAGCATGTGATATACGACACAGTATTTTCTCAGTCCAAGCAATCAACAGAAATTCAAAGTAGTGATGGCACCATACTAGGTCAACGGCTTAAAAAAGTTGAATAAAACTTTATGGGATGGCAGTTTTTGTCAGCTGACACCTGCAGGATGGTGCAGATATGGTGGCAAATATTTGGATCATAGGTGGAGCTGACCCAAACTGTGAAACGGCCAGCCGAATGGTGTGCGCTGGTGACTACATTTGCTGCTATTGTTGTGGGCCCGTTCGTACATTCATATGCAGCTTCTCACTCTTTAATAAGAATCTTTTGCCTCACTTTTTCTTTTTGCCCCACTTACTCCATTACAAATAAAATATTATTTTTTTTTTCCTGTTAGAGATGTTTTTGAAGATGTGAGGAGATTGGTCAGCCCTCAATACCTGTTGTGGACTAGTTCTAGGATCCCTGGCAAATATATGAAAATGTAAAGGTGCTCAAATAACTTTAGAGAAAAATGAAGCACTGTTTGTACATGACTAACCCATATCTTCACACATACAGTACGTTAAACCATTGCTGTGTTATTACTGCCAATAAAAAAAAAAATATGTCCGTGTTTGTCACAGGTTACATTTTCCTGACTATTTAATTAAACCATTGGTGGACTGCCTTTATGTCACTTGTTTACAATAAAAAGGTTCTCACAGTCTCTCTTGTCTTGGATTCATTCTGCTTCAAATTCCTCCACTGACACATATTGTTCATTTGACATATGGCTGTTACATGGTCAGTATTCCCTCTGATAAGCAGAACTAGAGGTATGATCATAGAGCAGACAGTAAGTTCGTTCCAGCACTACAGATGCAACCCTAAAGAGTTTCAAGTTGGGCTAGACTGATTTCTAGACAAGAGAAAGCAAGCACAGAAAGCAGTAAGATAACCCCCCGGGCATCCCAACCGGTGTCGGTAGCCTGCTAGCACACTGGCTTTTTAAACAGAGTCCACCTTTATTAAATTATTATTGGTTATGAGTGGAGAGGGCTTGCATTTAATCTTATTTGCTGCATCGTTTGAGTTGTCCACAAAAAACATCTTGGTTGTGCACAAGGAGATGATAATTCTTTTATATTCCTTTCTGAAATTTTGGTTCAGTAGTCCATATATAATCGCATTGAGGCAGCTGTTGAAATATGCCAAGTAGTAACTGGCCACAAACAGCCACTCTGGGATCCTGGGGACCATGGTGACAGGGTCTGAAGCCACAATGAGACCTATGAAGTTGAGTGGCGCCCAGCAAATGGCAAAGAGTACAAAAACTACAAACATGGTGACAAAGTTCCTGAAGTCCTGGGGCTTCAGTTTGGGCTTGCTGTCAGGTTTCACCCTCTGTCTGACCTGAAGAACCAGGATCCATATTCTCAAGTAGCAGAAGATGACGATAATCATAGGCACTATGAAGTGGAAAACCACCACTGCTATCGTGTACGTCGAGCTGATGGACTGGGTGAAGGTACAGGAGTAGATCCGGGGATCGTACTGGAGAGTTCCAGTCTGCAGGTTGGGCATGATGGCTACAAGAGTCAACATCCATATCAGGAACACATAGCAGAGAGAATTTTTGTTGGTGTATAGTTTGTCATACTTGAGGCTGTGACAGATGTAGCAGTAGCGGTTAATGGCGATGCCGGTGATGTTGAATATTGAGCCAATGACACTCAAACCCATTAGAAACCCACTGATTTGACAGTGCAGGTATCCCAGATTCCATCCATTGTTAAATATGGATGTCAGCACCAAGGGGTATGGGTAGATAGCCACCACGAGGTCTGCAACTGCTAAACTCACCACAAATATGTTCCCTGAGAGAGAAAGATGGAGAAAACACAGGTTAGCGCCAGTATTGCAGGGGTCGTATCTTTAAACATATGCTTAAGAGAGGAGGATTGGAAAGATAGCCAGTGCAACTTGCAGGGAAGCTTGAGGACTGGAGTTTGGATTCCCAGTACCCCTCCGAAAGCCCCATGGCCTTGGATGCCTGCCTATGGTCCCTGTGCAAGTAAGGTGGAGACATGGGATGCCCAGAGCAAGCTAGCTAGCCAGATAAGCAGGAGTGGCAAGCCCAGGGTTCAACTGAGAGAGTTTGTCTCAATGAGTAAGTAGTGTAGTGACTGAAGAAGGCACCTGATATCAACCACAGCTTTACAGCCATGAACATACACATGCATACACAAGTAAACAGGCATGCAAATATACATATGGTAACAGAGCAAATAATAATTCCATATGCTAAAGGAAGGGAGGAAAAGAGAAAGGGATAGAAGTACGGAAGGAGAGAGGAAGAGAGGAAGGGAGGAAAGTACAGAGAGAGGGAGGGAGAGAGAGAGACAAAGCAAGAGAGAGAAGGAGGGAGAGAGCAAGCTAGTTATTTCCACAACTTGTATGACCTGAAACCATAGCTATCGCAACATGATAAATAAAACAAATGCCACCAAGAAGCGCAAACGTTGCCCTTGTTGAGTCAAGTCCATTCTGTAAATCTCTGAGTCTCCATAACATTCCATTTCCGGAAATACTGAATTTCCGACTAGTTTCTCTTCTTTTAACAACTCTCAAGATGATTGCACTTCATGGCTTCTTCTGTTTGGGGGTCTCACCTGGGAAGTCTGACATCCCCCTACTTCTCAAGTCTGCCGCGACTTCCTTAAGCTAAGGTGTCTGATCTTTCTAGTTTTTCCCAAGGTTTAAGGGGCGAGCCTCCAGCTTCTGCTGTTGGAAGCTATGTATCTTCGTCCTAAGAGAAAAGGGATGCCACCATCGGTTTCGGGATTACACACTGGCATCACTCCTTACTGGCTACGGACCTGGACCAAGTTACTTCACTCTGGCAAGTTTCCATTCCCTCTTGGATGATACAGAGATGTTCGATGGTGCCTCCTTCCTAGTGTCAAGTGAACCTTGGGTGACGCAGTGTATGCCAAGCACTGTGCAGTGTACCAACTCGTATAAAAATGTGGTCATTTTCTGCAACTCCCTCTCTCAAACCAAAAAGAAAGAACGTCTCTTGTATTTATGAATAACTTAAGATTGGAGAATTAAGCCCCACATATTCTGAATAAGTGGTAAGATTACAGCAGTAAGCCTCATGTATTCCTAACAGGTGGTAATCTTCTGTACTAATATGATAACTGAGCACATTTTCAGTGTATAGAAAAAGGGCTCTAGCTAAATTTTATAAGGTGTTCCACCAATGTGCTCTATTATTTTGTGGCTTTTTAAAAGCTACATTTCTCTCCTGTTTTAAATGGATCCTAAATGGACATGCTCACATCCCTTTCTTATTTGCCCAACCGGAGAGAAGCAATTTCCCCTTTGAAGACGCCAGAATTATTTTATTTATTCTGCTTTGAATTTGGAATAGGTGATAATACATCCCATTTAATAAGAACTTAGCAGATGCATATAAAAGGTTCTGGGGAACTGGTAGAAACAGACAGAAAAAAAACTGAAACAGAATCAAGAGCAACTTTTATATCTATCCGTTAAAATGGATAGGATGCTAACCTATGTGGAACAGCACTGGGTTAGAATGGAATATTTGACCTCATGGGGAAGAGTAATGGCTCGGTTGGTAAAATGCTGGACACACAAGCATAAGGACTCGGATCTGAATCCCCAGCACCCATGTAAAAAGAGGCCCAGTAGCACATACTTATCACTGTGACCGACCACTTGCCTGCACAAGAATGCAAGCCTACATGTACACACCACTCATTCATGCAATACCAACACATGTAAACATGTAAACCTCCAACCCCCAGAAGAATAAATGACCTTAAATGTCAACAATTATGAAAAAATAATATAGTACTCTTACCTAGTAGAGTTTTTAAATGAAAGGGAAGGAAGGAAGGAAAAAAGGGAGGAAGGAAGGGAAATTTCTCTTCTACATCTCGGAAACATAACACATGCAAATATTAAAGCAGGAAGAGACAAAGCCACTTGAAAACCACATCTACACAGAATCTCTGGCTTACTTTCTCCACAAATGTTTGTAAAATGAGATTAATTCATAGAAAATTAAACCAATGAATAGGAATGAAGCACCATTGCTGTAAAAAGGCCTGAAGGATTGAAGCCACAAAACAACAAACAAACAAACAAACAAACAAAACAAGGAACTATGACATTGTTTGTGGTTGGAATTTTAAGCTGTTTAAAAGGAAATTTACACTAAGCCATTTTACCCCAGGCCATTCTGGGTTAAAACACACTGTTTTGCTGCTACTTCGGTGTGTAGATGGATGTCATAGATAATACATCACTTTAAACTATTAAGTATCTTGCGCTGAAATGGGCTGACTCCAGCACTGAAGTATTATAACTGTAATTTAAAATTACCTGGGAGGGGGAGTAACTTACCATTAAACCTTTAGTTTCAACTCTATCAGCAGCTTTTAAAGAAGTGACTTTTAAAGAATCTGGGGAGACGGGGCAGTGAGCAAGGTGACTGCTGCAGTGGCAGGAGGTCCTGAGTTAATATCCCCTACACCCACAGGAAATGTCAGGCTTGGCTCCATGCGCACTCAGCCCCTGTGCTGGAGGGACTGAAGCCAGAACTCATCGGTGAGTCAACCTAGGCAAATAGGTGGTTCATTGGCTCACTGGAAGACCTCCTCAAAAACCAAGGGGAAGAGTAATTGATAAACATATCCAGTGTTTACCCGTGCCCTACACACATATGTACCGCACATACATACATACATGTACACACGTGCACCTATACCACAAACAGGCACATAAAAAGTTTGCTTCTATAGCAATTTTTCTGAGAACTTTCAGTGCATTTCTTGCTTCGTGACACCTTTTCACGTTTTCTTTCTTTAATAGTAATTAATGAAGCAGGAACTTTCAGTACAAGGCTTATTTTGTTTCAGTTGTCTGGAGTAAACAACACAATTTATGTAACCAAACGCAGGTGAAAGTTGCTGTGTGCGCTGTTTGAGATACAAACAAAAAGAACTTGCACGCACTCTCTGTGAGTATAGTCTGGAAATGGAGGAAAACCAGGCTTCCAAACAAGAACTCGAGTATCTGTCTTTGGAGAAGGCAAAATCTTCCAAGTTGAGTTCCAACTACTATTTCTTCCCCACCTAGCTGAGCTGTCTTCTTCTCTTGTTAGCACTGGGGTTACAGACTTTGCTCTGACTATAACAAAAGTGAGTTCTAGGATTCCAGACACTAAACAGTACTCTCTAATAGGATGCTTTGTCCACCATGATGGAATTTCTCAGGACGTGCTTCAAACTAAGGACCTGATTGTACAATTATGGGCCATGCTCCTGGCATTCATTGAACTTCTTATGTTTCCCACCTTAGAATACTGGTTTTGAAGGTTCATTTAAAAGCCAACTGCATCACCAGGTGGTACCATATCACAGAACGGGATTCGTGGGTCATATATATGATTAGATTATAGTATTATTAGCTTCATACCGAAGATTCATTGGTCATAAAATCAAGGGCAGGTGTTGTAGTTTTTTCCTCTCACAATCACATTAGCGACTCCTTACTAGAACGATTGTCTCCTGTCCTCTGCCCTTGTAACCTTAGGCTCTTTGGGTCTTGCAGGTGTGCCCACCCTACCAACCTACACCGCACATGTATCCTAAGATATCAATCTGGCCCAACACCTGACTATATCACAGCATCATGAGGCAATGTCAAAAGCCTGGACAGCCTTGAGAGGCTAAATCCTAGTTCCAAGGAAGAACTGGAGGTTGAGTGATCATGGAAACCAACTCTCTGACTTTAAGTTCTTTGGAAACTTAAGACAGCCCTTCAACTCTGTATCTGTGACGACCTGGGGAGATTTTCTAAGCCCACTCACTGGCTTCGTGGTAGAAACTTTAGTTGCTCACATGAACTAATCAAGCTTAGTAGGGAGAAAGCTGCATTCCAAATGTTTCTTGGCATTGACCTTTCCTCCTTTCCTCCTCCCTGAATGTGGCTTTGCTCCCTGAAGCAAAGCAACCCACAAGCACACGTTTTCACACAGAAGCTGTGTCCCCACAAAACAGTGTGATCCAGGACCCAGCCTGTAGCTCTTATCAACACTGAACTCAGTACACAGCAGGTGCTCAATAAAGGTTTTCTGGAAAGAGTAATGCACCTGGATTCTTTAAGCGATACACGCACTGTAGAAATCAGTTGCTCTCCTGCATTTAACTGCCAGTGCACTATTTTTTCTCAGTGGGCCAGTTCATATTATCTTCCTTTTTCAGCCTGGATTTGAACTGTGCAGAAAGCAAAACTGTAGACCCATTGATGACTGCTCATATAGACTTTTTAAAAAAGTATCTGAACGTCAGCAAACTCATAGATTCAGATCCAAGAGGCCAGTCTTGGTGAAGGACCTGCTTTAAATCTGTTGTTTACAGCCAGTTCCATGTGGATAAATGTTAATGATATGACAAGAGGAAGCTAAGATGCTGAGAGGGATTAAGAAATATTCTTTAGCTATGTAAGGGGATATTAAAAGTAATCTCTCTGTCTCTCTCTTTCTCTCTCTCTCTCTCTTCTCTCTCTCTCTCTCTGTGTGTGTGTGTGTATGTGTGTGTGTGTGTGTGTGCATCCCAAGTTTAGAAACAAGTTTCCACCTGGACTCCACCCACTCTCCACACTGCGTGAACTTCCTGCTAACCCTTTCTTTAGCCTCTCCCACTGTTTGCCCTAACACACTGCTGATAGCCTACCCCGTTCATGGAACAGGGGGTTTGGACACCTTCTCCACATCACAGCCTTCAGGTAATATCACATCTGTACCCCACACTGCGTGCGTCTTCCATTTGTTTCACTGTGT